AAACCGCGACGGCACGCGAATTCTGTGTCATTTTTTCGGTAGACGGACAGGCAGTGATAACCTGCCGCGCCGTCGTGGGCGGCATTTGGTGCGGCGATGTGCGGTAAATTCTTGATGTGCATTAGTTTTTCATTGGAGTAGCGAAACTGTGGATTCGAGCGGAGGTAAGGCTCCATGCTAGACCTCCTCCACCCCCTACCCCCCCCCCCCCCCTTTGACATTCCAGTGTGAACAGCCATGTAGACCTCGTCTCGCTGGAGCGGCGTCGCTGTCTCGTCACAAACCCCTTTTTTCCTGGAACATATTGAAGGATTAATGAACAGAATAAAGCAATTAATTCTTGGTTAGGATGCTAAGAAAATGGCCACGCACGAAGCGGATTTGACGAGGGCATAACTGACGTGGATGTTCGGGGGCAAACGAGCAGAAACTGGAGGGGTAGAGAGAGGGGCGTCTCATACATAATATTCTCAAGGAAAGGTCACCGATACGGGGTAATTTGGAAAGGAATACTCAAAGAGACGGGAATGACGAAGGGCTTGACATTTCAGGGAGGGTTCGGAAGAAGATCAGCTCGTGCCATTTTCGGCTTTTCAAAAAAAAATGGAAGGGCAAGTGTAAGAAACCTGTATATCCTTGAGGACGTCTCAGGCAGGGTATGACATACGTTGCGGTTGCCCCGGGGACGTGCTTCGTAGCTGGAGGGAGGAGGGTCGCAATCATTTTTTGGTGGAAATATTTCTGTTGTAGACTTTTCTCCGCCTTTCCTGTTTCAAACCTGTTTCAAGTTTGTTACATCCCCTCCTTCCCCCACCCCTGGTTCATCGGCCGTTTTGGGGGGGGGACTTTGGGGGGGGGGGAGGGCACATCTTGAGCTGGTTTACTTTCAGAAGTTCTCAGGAGAAGACAGCTCCAGGGAAGGGGGGGGGGGGAGGGTGAGGGCGAGGGTTTTGTACGTGACTAAAAATGGGCAGTGATTACCACCAGCGCAGTCCAGCTTTCAATCCCGGGTCTACTCTCAACCAAGCCCTCCACCATCCGGGGACGGTAAATTAATGTCATATTCGTCTGGGAGGATAATAACAGAACATTTGTAACATCCGCTGTGCCCCCGCAAGGTCAATTGTTACTAGGCTGCATCGCACGAAGTAAGCGACTATGATTCTGAATGGAGGTAGGATGCGTGCCGCATTAAGGAATTGATCAGCGGGAAAGACCTTGTCCTTTACGTCGCCGTGTCCTGTCTCAGAAGTGTTTAAGGAAGAACAATCATCATCAGCAATGAGGCATTTGACAAAGAAGAATCTGAATTAGGTATTTGGGAGCTTATAGGGCACACAAGCGAAGACGGGGGAGAGGAGCGTGAGGCTCACATAAAGCAAGAGTGAAGAAAATCATGTTTGGGGGAAGGACCATTGCTGTGGGACCGGGGAGATACCATTCGTCTGTACTACTTAACCAAGCTATCAGAATTTCCTGGAGTGAAGTTCTGGTGAGCTCTGGTCTAACTCCTCCCGCTAAAATCCACAATTTATCAATTTTCGACTAAACTCAGTGATTTTTGCTGTAGCAGCAGAAGTTGGATATACTGGATTATCAGCTTGTTTACTAGTTAGAGAACTCGGAGTAGGATCAATGACCGAGAGGGCTTCTCTCAGTGTTGTTCAGTGGAACAAGCAGAGGGCGGAGGAATGCATGATAAGCAGTAGTGGTTCTTGGTTTCTCGCACAGGAAACCAGTTTCGCTTTTTACAGGCACTCTTTCTTAACGGTCGACTGGCTGGTGACCGTGTCCTTCACGCACCGTCATGAAAGGCAAGCAGATGGAGTAAACGGCGGATACTGTTCTTTGTAATCGCAGAAGGTCACAGAATCAAAGAACAAAACGCTCGACTTTGATGAGTCGGTTTTGGGGACGCGCCATGCATTCTACCCTCACCAGGGATCGTAGTGGTTTCTTGTATGCGATATGGCCTATGCAATGAATTGGGCCACATATCAGTGTTGTTATCTTTCCAGACGAGTATATAGAAATTAGTTGAACGCTTGGGGGTGGAGGGTACGGGTGATTTCAGTGTCTCGGCCGTACACATTTGTTGGCGCCGCGTGCACTGGCCCCATTTCCGCTTCAAGGTTAGAAAATCGCAAGGGTCAAATCACTGGGAGATTCCGGGTAAATCGATAGTCACAGATGATTTGACTTTTAGTGAGTGCGCAGGACACCTGCTGGATCTGTTTTTCTCTGACGCCGTCCGTGGAGCAAAGGAACTCGCACTGATGCTCTGTGAAGGATCTACAGACATGAGGGACAGGTGAGAGTAATTGGAGAGTGGAGCATGCAGTTGAAATAAATTTTCGGAATCTAGAATGGGCGATGCTCTTGCCATCCAGAGAGTTGTTGAATCAGCTGACGACTGTGCCATGAATTGCAAACTACTGGCTTCATTCGCTCAGGTATGTTTCGCAAGGCGAACAGATTTTTCACCAATGAATTCTAGTTGGGCATGTCCTGCCCTTGGGGAAAATGTTTGCAAAATATGATCCTCCCACCGCTCGGAATTTCCCCCGTCTAGTGCGAATTCGCTTCCCATTCCCATTCCACCTACCATATTCCGGCGCAGTTTGTCGACGGAGGGGCATTCGGCTTTTCATAGATGTGCCGACCCATCTAGGTAGCCTTTTCTCGAGTTGACACGTTTTAGGATGGTGGCTAGACGATCTTACTCCAGCTTCACAGGCGTTCACAAGTTTTACCATGGTGAGATTCGTAAACCGGAACTAGGGAAGCAATGTTAGTACAAAATGCCCCCCCCCGTCGCTAAACAGCGCCCCATATTCCTAATTTTCCTGAGATCTCCCCATCTTTCTGCCATTTTCCGGATTTTTTGAATTTCTCCAATTTCTCCCCAAAAAACTGCTGCTGTCCATCCTCTGAGGAGGAAGGTGTATAGAACACACGTGGACCCTAAATAAGTCGGTAACTGAAAACATTTTTTCATGGGCGAATGCGACCCTACCCCCTCCCCCGACCAAATATGATCCCCTTGCTGGTGACTCTCAGCCTAGGTAGGCGGACTCGGGCTTAGCTTGTACTTCTATCATTGGTGCGCCCCTACTCCTTGACGATGAAGACGAGGAGTGTGCCAGTGAGGAAAGCGCAGTCGTTCCCTGTCACAGCCCACATGAGCAGCGCGGACTGTCGTAGTAGTGAGGGGGAAAAGTCCCAAGAAAGAGATCGTTCGAGTTATCATGTCGATTTCGCAAGTCATTCTTCAAACATAGTAGTGTTGCAGAAAAGTGTCCTATTTTCAGGAGGCGTGGGGTCGTGCAGCTCTTCGTGAATCAGGTGCACTCGATTTCCTGATCAACCGTTTATCAACAACACCATTCAGTTCCTGTGACCGACTCGCTATCGTGCAACCGCTTCGTCATTTTGTGCACGATACAAATGGTAATATGGTTCATTGGCAGAAGTTTGACAAACCTGCTCTAGACCTAAAGCCAGAGGGCACAATGGCTGGGGGCAGTTGGTTACCGCCAATGTCATTGGTAGAAAGGCTAAGTGGGCTGTGGCCAAACGCCCTCTCGCATCCCTTCCACCAATAACGGAGATAGTAGCCGCCCGCCCCCAGCCATCGTGCCCACTGCCTTCAAAGGCACACTTCGCGTTTGCAAGTTGTAGATGGAGGAGGAGGAGGGGCTCAAATGGTTCACTCTTTTATCGCAGCGCTGTAAAGGGCTTCCAATCTATGCAAATAGCAAATAACTTCGTTCAGGAATGGCTTATCTGGTCCGTAATCGTATGTTCATCAATACAGTTGTGAAGGATGTTCAAGAGTTCTTGGCCGAATTCAAGGTGGAATGTGCGGTAAGGTTGAATATCTCTAGCTTTGCAGCGTGTGGCACCAGATGTGCAGTAATTCGGTATTTTCCAGCCGGAGGTTATTATCGATGAGAATTTATACCGCCCCGACAGTCCACTACTCATGGAGATCGAGTCCGGTCTCCAGAAGAAAAGTGATCGCGAGGTGATTGTGAACAGGAATGGAAAGAAACTTGGTAGGGAGATCCGCGTTGCGGCGAGGAAGTCATGAACGCGGAAGATCGGAAAGACCAGCTAGTTCTTGCCCGTCGCGGCAACGTGGATCTCTCACCCGCACCCTAATGGGAAGATTAAGAGGACCCACTATTCTCATGATTTCAGGAGTCTTCTCGTCTTTACAAGGACTACTCATTTCTTTGGGGTTATACCACTCCGTCACCAACTTATTCATCATGGAGTTCTCCTTTGTACAGTCCGCCATCGAGCGGTGCTGGAAGTCCTACTTCGGCCTTCAGTATCAGTCCACTGGCAAGGTATCGATTTCCGTGGAGTAAACAAACAAATAAACAAAATCAATTGCTGTAGAAGTCATTCTAGTGAATACTGTTTAGCCCTAACTCGAGCTATAGTCGCCTGAGCGATTTCGGATCGGATGTTGATGAAGGGGAAACATCGAGAAGTCACGGAGATTCCCGCTGTGAGCCTTTAGCCAAACCAACCAGTGGTAACTTAGTAGCAGAAAAGGTATAGTTTTCACCGAGTTGTTCCTTCTCGTATTTTTCAGCTGTCCAGGCGAATTTCAGCCCTAAGTTTCAGGTAATTGAGAGTGAACTGTGGCTACTCACCTGGCAGGCTCAGGAAGACGCGAATCTACCGTACCTCGGTCGAGAAGACGTTGTGGTGGGCGGCAATTTGGCTTTATGCGTTCGAAAACTTCACGGAAAAAACACACACCTGTTCCAGAATACTATACTTTCTTACCTGTCGCTCGCCCCGTCGCCCGATTACCGTATCGGGCGAGTTCTACGTCGACTGGCCTCCTCCCGCTTGTCCATCGACTCTCTTCTCACTATGCAGTTTCACACACGTGTTTTGCATACGCTGTGTATGGTCCCTTGTAGAGTAGTCCGGTTCGTCCTTGGGTGCCTAAATGGGTACTGTATTTGTGCTGTGAGGTACTGTAGTAAAGGATGCGTTTTTCAGTTACGCTAAGCGATGCGGTCGATGCGAAAGGGCTGCGGAATTCGGAATTGAAGTGTTGAGGTAGGTTAACATTTTCACATCCTTTCGATAGTAAGTCCAGTGAAAGAAATACTCGGGGTTAGTGAGTTGGGATGCGCACTGCATTCCACTTCAGTTCAGAGTCGTAGTGCAGTGGAATCAAGGCATGTCGTACGTTGGAAGACGAGGGCCGGGTCTATTCGCTGGAGGGAGACCGTCATATTTGGTCCCGGGAAATGTTTTCGGTTTTTGTCTTTTTTTGATTTTTCCTGTTTCATGTGCGCTATATAACCCATCCCTCCTCCCGCTCAACGGCAGTTTTCTCAAGAAAAAGTGGAGGAGCGTAATGCTTTTGGTGTTTGTCGGTCGTGGAAGTGGAGGGGGGGGTCACACCAAGGCAGGAACTCATGAGGCGAACGCACTTTGCTGTCATTTTCCTCAGCGGCAGGTCGTACCTTGAATGGATACGATTGGGGCTATACTACGGCTTCCGGAGGTACGTTACATCCATACTGCTACAGCAAGCTTGCTCACTAGCTAGTGTTTCTTGGTTAGTTGACTTAACCTACTGCAGCACTTCCACGTTAATTTAGTTAGGATCTGGTGCGAATGTCGTGACGTCGCTCGCTTGTGGATGTAACGTCCCTTACCCAAAGTCCGTGTTTTCATCATTAAGGACGTAACGGTATCATATCGTAGGCTATGTGAGTAGATGATCTTGTTATGGCGCGATGATGGGCGTGGCGAGCGATGTCGCGTTCGCGGGAGACGAGCTGACCTCCGCCGTTTGGAGTTGAATGTTGAAGGGACGGAAAGATTGAGCATGGGGTCTTGTCTCCGCTTGAGTTCAGTCCCTATCTAAATTACTT